CTATGTTGGTCCTCCCAATCCAAGAGCAAGGGAGATCTTTCCATTTTCTGGTATCCTCCTCAATTTCTTTCTCAAAGACTTAAAGTTCTTGTAAAATAGGTCTTTCACTTCCTTGGTCAGAGTTATCCCAAGATATTTCATGCTATTTGTGGCTATCGTGAAAGGTGAAGTTTCTCTGATTTCCCTCCCTGCTTCTTTATCCTTTGTGTATAGGAGGGCAACTGATTTTTTGGAGTTGATCTTGTATCCTGCCACATTGCTAAAGGTGTTTATCAGCTGTAGGAGTTCTTTGGTAGAGTTTTTGGGGTCGCTCATGTATACTATCATATTGTCTGCAAATAACGAGAGTTTAACTTCTTCTTTTCCAATTCGAATTCCCTTGATCCCCTTATGTTGTCGTATTGCTATTGCTAGAACTTCTAGCACTATATTGAAGTGGTATGGGGAGAGTGGACAGCCTTGTCTTGTTCCTGATTTCAATGGAATGGCTTTGAGCTTTAATTATATTTAGATATGATCCTTGTATCCCCAATCTCTCCAACACCTTTATCATAAAGGGATGTTGGATTTTGTCAAATGCTTTTTCAGCATGTAATGAGATGATCATATGGTTTTTTTCTTTCAGTTTATTTATATGATGGATTACATTGATGGATTTGCGTATGTTGAACCAGCTCTGCATCTCTGGAATGAAGCCTACTTGATCATAGTGGATAATTTTTCTAATGTGTTCTTGGAATCGGTTTGCCAGAATTTTGTTGAGAATTTTTGCGTCGATGTTCATGAGTGAGATTGGCCTGTAATTCTTTCTTGGTTGTGTCTTTATGTGGTTTTGGTATCAGGGTAACTGTAGCTTCATAAAAAGAGTTTGGCAATGACTCTTCTGTTTCTATATCGTGAAATACCTTAAGGAGTATAGGTATCAGCTCTTCTTGGAAGTTCTGGTAGAATTCTGCATTGAAACCATCTGGCCCTGGGCTTTTTTTGGTCGGGAGGTTTTTGATAACAGCTTCTAATTCTTCGTGACTAACAGGTCTATTTAGATTGTTCACCTGGTCTTGATTTAATTTTGGTAAATGGTATTTATCTAAAAACCAATCCATTTCTTGTACATTTTCCAACTTTGTGGCATATAAACTTTCATAGTAAGATCTAATGATTCTCTGAATTTCCTCTGTGTCTGTTGTTATGTCCCCCTTTTCATTTCTGATCTTATTAATTTGCATGTTCTCTTTCTGCCGTTTGACTAGTTTGGCTAGGGGTTTGTCAATCTTGTTGATTTTCTCTAAGAACCAACTTTTTGTTTCGTTGATTTTTTGGATTGTTTTCTGTATTTCTATTTTGTTGATTTCAGCCCTCAGTTTGATTATTTCCAATCTTCTACTCCTCCTGGGAGAGTCTGCTTCTTTTTTTTCCAGAGCTTTGAGGTGTGCTGTTAAGTCTCCAATATGTGCTTTCTCCGTTTTCTTTAATTGAGCACTTAGTGCTATGAACTTTCCTCTTAGCACTGCTTTCATAGTGTCCCATAGGTTTGAGTATGTTGTGTCTTTATTTTCATTAAATTCAAAGAAGACTTTAATTTCTTTCTTTATTTCTTCCTTGACCCAGGGATGATTCAGTGGTTGACTGTTCAACTTCCACGTGTTTGTAGGCTTTCTGGTGTTCGAATTGTTATTGAATTCTAACTTTATTCCATGGTGATCCGACAAGACACAGGTGGTTACTAATATTTTTTTGTATCTGTGGAAGTTTGCTTTGTTACCGAGTATGTGGTCAATTTTCGAGAAGGTTCCATGAGCTGCAGAGAAGAAGGTATATTCTTTCCTTTTTGGGTGGAATGTTCTATAGGTATCTGTTAAGTCCATTTGATTCATTACCTCTAGTAATTCTCTTATTTCTTTGTTGAGTTTCTGTTTGATTGACCTGTCCATTGGTGAGAGAGGTGTGTTGAACTCTCCTACTATTAGTGTGTGTGGTTTGATGACTGCCTTGAGTTCTAAAAGTTTTTCTTTTACATAAGTGGGTGCTTTTATATTAGGGGCATAGATATTCAGGATTGAGACTTCCTCCTGATTAATTGTTCCTGTTATGAGTATAAAATGTCCATCTCCATCTCTTCTGATTGATTTTAGTTTGAAGTCAGTTTTGTTAGATATTAGAATGGCACGACCACTTGTTTCTTAGGTCCGTATGCTTGGAAAACCTTTTCCCAACCCTTTACTCTGAGTAGATGTCTGTCTTTGCGGTTGAGGTGTGTTTCTTGTAAACAGCAGAATGTTGGATCCTGTTTTTGTATCCAATCTCTTAGTCTGTGCCTTTTTATAGGTGAGTTGAGACTATTAATATTAAGTGATATTAATGACCAGTGGTTGTTGATTCCGGTTATTATTTTTGTGTGTGTGTGTGTAGTGGAGTTTGTGTGTTTCTCTTCTTTGAGTTGTGGTTGTGAAAGGTCGCTAAATGTTTGGGTTATTTGTAGGCAGTGATGGCAATGTTGGATTCCTTGGGTTGCGATTTTTCTTCTGTTACTTTCTGTAAGGCTGGATTTGTGGCTACGAATTGTTTAAATTTATTTTTATCCTGGAATATTTTGTTTTCTCCATTGATAATGAACGATAGCTTGGCTGGGTATAGTAGTCTGGCTTTGCATCCGTGGTCTCTTAGTTTCTGCAGTACCTCTATTCAGGATCTTCTGGCTTTCATGGTTTCCATAGAGAAGTCTGATGTGAGCCTGATAGGTTTACATTTATAAGTCACTTGAGCTTTTTCCTTTGCAGCTCTTCTTCTTCCTTCTGTTACTTTCTGTAAGGCTGGATTTGTGGTACAGAAAATCCTTGGGTGACTGTTCAGGCAGCAAGATGTCTCTTGTCAACTTTAGAGTTTTGGAAGTTGCTTACGATGCACTTCCTGTTTACTTAGGTAATACTATATTCTTCTGGAGTCTCTGATGGATTTGAAAAAATTATAGTTATAGTTTTTCTTAGTTATGATAAAAGACAAAATGGATATAAATATTGTAATTATTATTGCTTGATACCTGTTTTATTATATGTAATTTTACTATGTTAAAGTTAAAGCCTTCTTTTTTGTTTAAACAGAAAAGGGTAGGTGATGTGTGATTTTCCTCCTTATGCTGTGATTACCATTGATAAATAAAGGAACTGCTTTGGGCCTATAGCAGAGCTATAGGGGAACAAAGCTTTGTGGGAGAAACTAAGCTGAATCCTGGGAGAAAGGAGGCATAGTCAGGAGAAGCCATGTAGTCCCGCTGGAGCCAAACGGAACTTTACCCAGTAAGCCACAGTCACGTGGCAATACACAGATGAATAGAAATGGGTTAAATTAATATGTAAGAGTTAGTCAATAAGAAACTAGAGCTAATGGGCCAAGCAGTGATTTAATTAATACAGTTTCTGTGTGATTATTTCGGGGGTAAGTGGCCAGGAACAAACAAGAAACTTCCTTATTACACAGAAGAGCCTATTCCCTGGGGAACCTGAGATTGTCCTGTAGACTACCTTGTCTGTCTTGTTTCTTTTTCCTTTTCTGCTGTACAGAAGTGGGACCCTGAGTCAGCAAGGAGCATCTTCCCGAAGCTGAAGGGAAGTGGATGTTCTTTAAACCAAACCTGCATTTTCCTGTGGCTTCACCAATTGTGTAGTGCTGAAGCCCTAAAAGCTTTTTAAGTACCAGTTCTAGGCATTTAGCTTTACTTTCTGTCCTTTGTAAACAGCGATGGAAGCAGAGTGTACTTTAAGGACAAAGCAGCAAGACTTTTTGAGATCTGAGGTCTTTTCAAGAGCTGAGACGGGTGCTGGGGAGCTATGTGTCTGAGTTAAGAGTCATTGTGTGTTCCTGTGGCTCTTACAGATGATGGTGCCTGCTGCTCAGGTTCTTGCCTTTCTTTCCGGCTGCTGCCTGGGTGTCCAGATGTGCCTGTGCCTCTCCAAGTAGGCACTTTTATGGACACTTAGTAGACACTCTCCGCCAGCCACCTTTTTATCTCCATACTTGTCATGGGTAGCCCATCTCCTGAACTTTTTCAGACTGAAGGCTCATGAGAGTGGTCTCCTAGCCACCTGGTCACTGCTGTAGCCCCCAGCTCTATAGAAGGGGCTGGAACACATTGCTGGTTAATAATAGTAAATGACCGGTCACCTGCAGCAAGTGCCTTGCCATCTCAGTTCTTACACAATGAGAATTTTGCAGTTAGATTTGTTTGGTAGCTACTTATATAATAGTGGACTTGGAGGTCATTAGAGATAAATCCTTCCCTCTTTGTTTTTTTTTTCCAGTTTTTATTTCAGGAAAAAATGAACTTAGTTTATTACCCCCTTTTTAAAAAATTACTTTATTATTTTGTGTGTATGTGTGTTTTACATGCATGTATGTCTGTGTACCACATGCATGCCTGGGGCCCCATGAGGTGGCAAACCTCCATGTGGATGCTGGGAATCGAACTAGGTTTCTTTCCAAGAACAAGTGCTCCTAACCACTCTGGCTATCTTGTAATTTTCTCTGTAGACCAGGCTTGCCTCAGACTCAGAGATCCATCTACCTCTGTCTCCCAAGTGCTGAGATTAATGACAGTCATACGCCATTACCGCCCAGCAAATCCATCCCTCATAATCAGCAGCATGTAAAACAAGGAGCTGAAACTTTAGAATCCTGATTACTGATCAAAAGAACAGGGCCTGAGTTGTTCCTTGGCTTCTAAGCTGATATGTGGGGTTCTTAATTTCCCAGAAGGTCATGAGATCATCTAGCCAGAGACTTTCTGGTACATGGGTCTTTGAAATATATATCATCCAAATGGGCCCATCAGTCACCCAGGGAGGAAACAATGCCCTTCAGGGAAAGCAAACCGTCCTAGAGGATTTGAGATAATATAAAATCTGTCTAACATGTAGATTTGAACAACAGTGCCTTTAGTCATTGTCTGCTTTCATGCCCCCCAAGCCAGTTCACTTTACGGTGTAATAAAATCAGCTAAGTCTCACTTGAATTTTTCCAATGAAGATCACAGGTCCCAGGGCCAAGGGGATGCTATAATAAGACCCTGAACAAAGAATTATCTGTTATTTTTGCTATTATTGATTGAGCTAGTTGAATTCTCAACTTTGTTTTTTTGAGGGGGGAGGAGTGATGGGTTTGATGGTAAATCTGGAATACTGAATTTACGTCAAGCATCAGACAACTGTGTCAGCCTGGGGCTGGCAGAAGATCATGCACTTCTACCTGAGTCCCTTTGAACCAGACATCTGAGGTTTACACTATTTTAGGCCCAGTATCTGCTGCCACCTCTATATTGACAAGAAACTAAGAAGACGGCAGGCTTCATTAGGGCCTGCTGGAATCAGATTGAAGTCCTAAGAGTGTTGAACCCCAGAGAAAGCAATGTCTTCCTGGGTGCTGGCATTAGATTGAATTTTTTCTCTAGCTATTGCTTTGGCTAAGACAGGTAAAAGCCTCAGATGTAGGGAGCAGGGACCAAAAGCCACCTTTTAAGACAGATGATGTTATGAAGTTTTTAAAACGATAAAGGGAGACTATTTGGGGAGAGGGAGAGGACCAGGATGAGGGAAGAAGCCCAAGAAGGCAAAGTAGGGGATGGATATGACCAAACACATCATTTCCATGTGAAGATGGCATAATATATCATTCTGTACACTGACGTATTTAAATGAGAAAATGAACGGAGGACCTTGGAGATGCCTCAGTAGGTAAAGACACTAGGTGACCTCGACCTCACATGACAGAAGGAGAGAGCTGATTCCCACGAGCTGTCTTCTGATGTAAGCAAGTTCTTATCGCCTCAGTAACAGTGTTCTCTGCCTTGAACATGGGGAGGGATCGTCTACCTCCCATATGCAATTGTGGGCATGAAAAACAATGCCTCATAAACGGAAAGATCCTCACCTTCCCCACCCCATAAACAGCAGATTCTCTAGGTCCTAGCTGACCTTGAACTTTGCATTCAGGTCGTTGTCACGTTTCCACATTGTATTGCCCAAGACCCTGATAATATGCAGTTCAAACAGAGAAATCATCTCGAAACTCTGAATTCACAGAGGGAAAATAATACAAATAACTTAAGTGCCATATGTGCAATATAAATTCATAAGGTGTATTGCACAATTTAGAAATATATCGCCACACTATATATTTAAAATGTCACATAATGGGCTCAGTTGGATGATATCTCAAATATATCTTTCAGGCTGTCAAATACATTTTTAAAATGAGTATCTTTTTTAATGGCCCGTACTGGGTTACCTGGAGAGAATAGGAAAAAAATTCATTATTTCTCCTGGTGCTAGGTGACTTGTATATCCAAGGGTGGTCAGGGAGATTGAAAAAAGAGATAGTTCTTTTTAGTGTGTGGCTTAAGAGGACTTGGGGAGGAAATGTGCCATCACGGGGTGTAGATAAATGGCCAGAATGGGAGATGAACACTATGCTAAATAATGGAAGGAAGGAGGGTGGTTGGAGAGTTGTGGTTGAGCCAGATGGATAGCTTGGGCAGTGAAATACTGGCCTGCATCATTCTAGAGATGCTGCTTAAAATTCTAACTCCATGGCACTCCTGAGGAAGAAAGGGAAAGGACTTCTTGCCACTGCTATAGGGACGGGGAGGGGAACAACGGAGTGGGAATAGACGGTATCAAGCATCCTCTACAGGACAGGCACTTTATCAAGGTTATCATGTGGAATTCTCCTTGCATCCTTGGTGGTGGAGTGGTGATGGCATTTTTATCTCTATTTTTCTGATCATGAAACAGGTCCAGAGCTAAGGAGAGGGTGAAAGGTCAGGCGTCAGGGGCCCGGCACCCACGTCTGCAAGACTCAAATCCAGCCTTGCTCTTTCAGGGTGCAAGGTTAGACCCCTTGCCTTGTTAAATGATGACCTGGCTGAAGAGGCTGCCCTGCATTTTTTTCAAGAGACAAATTCCTAAAGGTTATCATAGTTTCTGCAGCATCTAGAAGTTCAGGCCATGTGAGCTTTCCCTCAACTTATCTAGAGAGAAATGGGAAAGACTAGCCCTTTTCTCTCCTCCTACAGACTCCGTTTCCTAACACACAGAATCAGCAATAAGACCATGTTTAAGGGTATGAGTACAAGTATTGATGAGGAGATTCTTCCTGAACCAGAGACTCTCACTGAACCTTATATCAATGGGCATAAAATGCCCATTCTAGCAAGGAACTCGTCAGCTCTCCAGGGCTGGGAAGGTGGAGCCCACTGAGGCACTGGGTTATCTCCATCTTCCTGATTTAACAGAGAGATTGACAGAGTTAGGGGCAGGATATCAGGCAAGGCTCTGCCCTCATGACAAACTGATGAGTTGCAGAATAACCATTGGTTAGTGAGGTTAAGGAGAAGCACAGAGGCAGGAAGAAGGAAGGGTCAGGGTAGGCAAGGGTATGGATGTGATTCATTGCCAAGCTCCCTTACTGACTCTTCTGGGTTGATTCTGATTTTCGCCTCTTGCAGCAGGCTTTTGTTGAAGGATCAGGGTTTCTCCTCAGGAAGAGGAAGGAAAGGAGATTGTGGGCGCTGGCTTAGCCCAGGTAGCTCTCTATGGTCTTTACCTGTGTGGGGGCCATAGTTCTGAGTGACTATGCAGAATAGAAACGCCACATTTCCTGGAGCTTTTCTTCTCTGAAGCCCATGGGCCTCTCCCACTAACCCCTGACTGTGGCCAGGTAAACCGCTGAGATAATCCGGCCTAAAGCCAGACAATGCTCAGGAGGCACAGACCCTTGGGACTCATCCCAAGACAACTTTCAACTTAGGCTTTGTTCCCAGTCCCAGATCCACTGAGTTTAGCACTGAGTGCATTCCCCCTTTCTCTCATGCCCCATCCTTACCTCGGCCAGCATCTGTTTCTCAGACCCAAAGCACTGGCTCCAACTTTTGTTCCCTTGTGGGCTTTGCCGAGACTGAGAAGATTTGTGGAATTCCCTTTTCAGTTCTTCCAGTCAGCTCGGCTCTCCAGGTTCTCCAACCCTTTGGTAAGGCCTGCAGCTTGAGGAATCTTGTCTAGTGGTTACTGGCAGTTCTGGAGTATGATCTATTCGTCAAGGTTTATTGAGAGCACCCAATGCCCATGATCAGGCAGGAGCTCTTTCCATTATCAGTGCATACACACTGTTGCTCTGCATCAGTTCTTTATGGCTAGATGCACTGCGCACAGATGTATACAGATAATACAATAGATAATACAATACCCACCAGCTATACAGTGGTGACTCACGCCTTTATTCCCAGCACTCAGGAGGCAGAGGCAGGTGGATCTCTGTGAGTTCATGGCCAGCCTGGTCTACAGAGTGAGTTCTAGGACAGGCAGGACTGTTAGCCAGAAACGCAACAACAGCAACAACAACAAACCCCAATACCCGCCTGTCCTAGAGGAAGCTAATGGACTTTTACTGATAATAATCATAACCACTAACATTTTCGATAACTCCAGTTTTTTAGGCACCTCTGAAAACTTAGTATCACTTATTTATACTTCAAGACTTTGATGATACTCACTTTACAGATGCAGAAGCTGTCCAAGATGTTGAGCTAACCTCTGAGAGATGTAGGATTAGAACTTGAGTCCAAAGTCCAAATTCAGCATGCTATGTACTAGACAGCTGGCCTGCGTTCCTGCAGGCTGTGTCAGAGGTGAAATACTGAACATTCCAGGAGTTCCGACGGAACTTCCAATCCAGAACAGTCTTTAAAGGTGATTGTACCTCTAGAACACAGGCTTTCAAGTGAGAAGTGACACACTTTGGAACCATCAGTTTTGTGGCTCTGGGCAAGTAGATGTACTTTGAGTCTCAGTTTGCCCATCCATAAAATGGGCTTAGCTGTCATTTTTCTCTAGCAGTGTTGGGTGAAATAGAAGTTACAAAATAAGTAGCTTACCCGGGACCTCTATCCTGAAAGATCAATGGCTGAAGGCTGTGATTGCCAGGATATAGGGGAATCCTTTGCAGACACAGGCTGTGTAGTAAGTCGCCGGCAGAGGCCGCTGCACTTGTGCTAGAGGCAGCCCTGAACAAAGGCCATGGGAATGACTCGACCCCAAAAGCTATAGCAGATGACTCAGGAAAACCTTACTGCTGAAATCCTCTTCTGTTCCTCCTCCTGCACAATATCCAGGTTCCTTGCAGTTGCTCCCCTATGTTGTCAGTCAAATTGGGGACCAAACCAAACTGGGGTGGGGAGATAAGAGCACAGGCCTCCTCCAAAGAGGGTTCCTAGACAATCGGAGTCAACACAGAACAGCGTGTGGGACACCATCTCCTGTAGACTAGGCCTCCAGACACAGCTGCCTCTTGCCGACTTTCCATAACCAGTAATACACAGTGCTTACCTGCTAAAATTTAGAAAAGAACTGGGGTTTCTCTCATATACCCCCAGAAGTTCTGCTGCTGGTCATACTGTCTTATCCTCTCTCCACAGTGGCAATAGAATCATTTTAATCTGCAGAGGTTTTCTTTTTTTTTGGGGGGGGTAATCTCTGATCACATGCTGGAAGGTGATTTTCAGGATGACCTTTCCGATGCAATAGTCTGCTATGTTGCATTTGCCAGAGCTTTAAGTGTGCCGTCAGGAAAATCCCCTGCAACCTCCGCTGCTTCTGAACTCCAGGCCCCACTTCCTGCACAAGAAGCCACAGCAGCCCAGGGCTTTCTAATTTCTAATGCAGAGTAAATTTCATGGATTTGCATACGATTTTTCTCCTCTACATAGACACCACTTTGTGACAGTTCGTTTTCTATGTGTTAAAGACAGTACTTCTGCTGAAAAAGGTTCCCCATTCATTCCCAGGACACTTGAGGCAGGCCTATTTAGAATGTGTAGCCAGCTCGACACTCCTCTTCGGAAGGGTATTAAATACCCACATACTATGGGCTCCTCCGAGGAGCAAGGATAAATATGGCAGGTATGAAATGGGTCTAAATTGCTCTTGATGGCTCGATTCAATAATGTTGGTCTTTCCTTACACTACTATGTAACAATAGTCATTTTCAAAATGGGGTGCTGCAGTTGTTTTTAAGAAAGAATTGACAATTTTGACCTACAGAGTAGTGATTTGCAAAATGTTCTTTCTTTAAGCCATTCACTGGGAAATGCAGAAAGCCCGCAAGTGCTGAACTGGAGGCGAAAACCGCTGTAACTAATGATAACCGTTAAGTGCAGGGAGAAAAGGCAGCCTTGGCGGTGATGTTCCCGAGTCAGAACTGAGGCCACGGAGAGGCAGAAAAGAGAGCTTCATTACAGACAATTGGGCTGAGAAGTCCCTGAATAAACCCTATTTTAGTCACTTTGCAGACACATCTTACATTGTCGCTTCTGCACTTTACGGCCCCAAAATGGGATTCGATCCAGAGAAGCAACTGCTTGAGACAAAGGGATGGTGGCTGCTAGAGCTCTTATCAGCTTTGTCTGTTAAGTGCGCTGACTTCATCAGGACATCTGCTTGGCTTGGATTCTTTATGCAAATGCATAAGGAGTCTGAGAACCTTCTGCCTGGAGTTGATTGCACTTGACAAATCATAGGCACAAAACATCTGTACCTCATGCTTCTGTGCTTGCTTCTGTTGGTCCCTGGCTTGTGGTTTTATGGGTATATAAAATTATAGACACCCATTGGAGGCACTTCTTTATTTTTCTCTGCTCCTGGATAGAGCACTCATTTCAAATTTTTCTCATATTTCTCCACCCATGATGTGATGGTTAATATTTTTTTCATTTTTAATCATATGTATTTATGTGTCTCTGTATATGGGAATGGGTCTTCATGAGTGCAGGTATCCCAGACATACAGGAGAGGGTGCTGGGATGCCCTGTAGCTGAAGTTACAGGTGATTGTGAGCCACTCAACATAGGTGCTGGGAAATGATCTCCTCTGATTCTCTGAAAGAACAGTGCATGTTCTTAACCACTGAACCATTTTCCAAGCCCTAAAGTTTGATCTTGACTGTTAATTTGATTGGCCTGAGAGATGCCTACGAAATTTTGAAGTACACTTGTGTGTCCTTAGAAACGTTTCCAGACCCAATTGACATATAGCCTGTAACTGAGAAGAACCACGCTTAATGTAAGTAGAGCCACCATGTTGACTGAAGGCCAAGGAGAAATAATTATGAAAAAAGGAGGAAGCCAGACTGCACATGTAAGCTCCATTCTTTCTCAGTGAACGTGACTGCTGCTGTTGATGTGGCCAATGGACACCAGATTCTAAGTTGTAGATTTTTGATGTGGATACACACCAATGGTTCTCCAATGGGCTTGCTAGACTTCTAGCCTCAGACTGCATCTGTATCGTTGTTTACGTTATTCTGAAGTTACTACCTTCTTGGACTGAACAGTCTTTGGACTCTGGTTCTCTAGCATGCTGACAGCCACTGATAGACCATCTAGGCTATAGACATGAAAGCCAATGTAAACAACCTCCTTTAATCATTGTATTTATGCTATTGATTTTCTTTCTCTAGAAACCCCCTGAATAGTTCACATTCACACTAATCCATGAAGGCAACTGAACAATTATATCCATGATGGATAGATTTAAAGGCAGGGGAGATAATACGATACAGGGCCCAGAACAGAGAAGCTGTAACTTTTCTTTCTTTGAATTACCAAAGTCTGAAGCATAGCAGAAATAAAGGTTCTTAAAAGCAGTAAAAGGAGAGAGAAATAGATTTTTGTTTTGTTTTAGTACAAGAAGTGAACTCAGGGGACAAATGTCAGGACTTGTATAGACCCACATTGCCTGATGACAGTCCTTAGAGGGATCAAGTCATCAGGGGGAAGAGCTGATTTTATACCATCTCCCCAATCTGCTTTGGAATTCTCAGTCTTCACAACTGACCTCTGCCATTTTGTCTTGCAAGGGGCTGTTTCTGTGATTAAAGGACCAGCTTTGATGCTGGTGTCGGAAGTAGCCAAGACTGTAACTGTAGGCCTCTCTGCTTGCTTATGGATTCTACAGGCACATTGATTAAGAACTTGAGAGAGAATGATGCTCCAGTAATGAGTGAGATTAAATTAATTTCTCCTTGAGTATTTTATGATTTTATAAAAAGAGAAAGCCAGTTAATAGGATATAGAGCAGAAGCTAGGCTTTTTCTTTAGCCAAAGTGATGTGGGATTTCCCTCTGTATGCTGTGATTACCATTGATAAATAAAGGAACTGCTTTGGGCATATAGCAGAGCTGTAGGAGAACAGAGCTAGGTGGGGAAAACTAAGCTGAATGCTGGGAGAGAGAAGGAAGAGTCAGAGAAAAGCCATGGAGCAGCTGTCAGAGACAGATGCTAGGAACTTTACCCGGTAAGCCACTGCCACATGGAGATGCACAGATTAATAGAAATGGGTTAAATTAAGATGTAAGAGTTAGCCAATAAGAAGTTAGAACTAATGGGCCAAGCAGTGATTTAAATAATATGGTTTCTGTGTGATTATTTCAGGGCTAAGTGGCCGAGAACTAACAAGCAGCCTCCTTACAACACCAAAGCTCTTTAGGAAAGCAACCTGAAAGGGAACTTCACTTCATCAATTGGTTTCTGTGCCCTGAAGACTCATGAAAGGCTTTTCTGGTGAGGACCCTGAGGTGATGGGGACACCTGACAGGCTGGAGACTGAGACATCAGAGCTGTAAAGTGGGGGAGATACAGGACATTGGCCAGGTTTCTTGAATCCTTGACTTTGGCTCACTGTGTTTAATGCCTGGCTTTCAGGGTTCAAACAAAACATGAAATTTAAATGGAAGGTGATATTAAGAGTCTAAACTGAGCTCCATCATGTTATGGCCTTTTCAAGTAAAATACAAACAAGTTTGAGTCAGGACTACCAGTTGGCAGTAGTTAAACATACTTAGAAGTGAGAGCACTGGAAGCGTGTTGTGGCTGACATCCACCACTTTGCAGATCAATTCTTCCATTTTCACCATAACTTAGCACTGATGCATGGCTGTAACCTGTTCATCAATCAGGACAAACAGTTGCCATGGTAACAGTAATGCAGACTCTCAGTGGCTTAAGAGAGTAGTACGTCTTCTCTCCTATATCACATCCTTTCTTCAGGTTTTGTATTAATTTCCCTCATGCAGGGTATAGGATCCTTCACCATGCTTTTTCAGGGTGTGGGGATCTGTCCTGGTTAAATGCCTCAGAATGCCTTGGGCTTTGGACTTCCCTCCCTAAAGTTGGCTGTGTCCTTTTCTAGTGGTGATGACCAGCAAGTGCTGGTAGGAAATTCTGAATCTGTGTCTTTGTTCATGTGGACTGAAAATTTTGGGGCTAGCTGGGTCAGAGCTGGCAGAGTTTCCTTGGCATTAGATTGCTGCACCACTGGTTTATGTATAGGCTCAGGGGCTATTCCTCCTTTTAGGAATACTTAGCAATTTTAGAAAATATACAGATGTTCCAAGACTTCAACTTTTCACCTTAAGGGGTATCTTGGACCTACAAATACTAGGTTTCCTGGAACTATCAAGTTCCAGGGTAGTGCTATTACATGGTGTTTGCTCTGTGGGATTGGCCAACCAGAACAGAACGGCAAGAAAAAGCTGATTTAGGGCTCTTCTCATTCATGTTGCATACATGATGAATTTGAGCTTCTGGACTGTGAACAGCTCCCAGTCTCCTCTAACATCTGAACTCTG